TAAAAACATAGGCTTACATATGTGGCTGTCTTAAAATGCTTTTGAAGAAAGTTGCTAAAAGTGATAATGAGTTGTGTGTGTGTGTGTGTGTGTGTGTGTGTGTGTGTGTGTGTGTGTGTATGCTCACTCTTATAGCAGGAGAAGCTTGTAGCTATGCATTAATAAAATATAAGAGGAACTTAAATAGATGCTTAGGAAATTATACTCTAGAGAAAAAAGAGGTGTACACAGGTTAAAAGGGCTGTCACATCCTTGATAGTTTTTGTTTCTCTACTATTGAATTTGATAGTCTGTGAAGTAGCAGGATGTAACAGTAGCAAGTTTGGTCATAATGACAGAAATTACTTTGAAATTTTGTGTTACAGATACAATTAGTAAAAGTGACTTCTGGGATACATTGAAACTTCACTCTGGTTTTATACAGTTACTCAGAAAGAAATCAGAAGAAAAGAAGATGATTGTAGGTCCCTATGTGGCCTAATATCCCTTGAAAAGATGTTTTAACTTAAGGTTGAAAAAAAGTGTTGATGAAAATGTATTCTTAATTATCGGGCTAGAAGCAGAAACATGTCTGTGTCTTTTTCTTCTTTAAAAGCAATGTATACATTGAAAGTTACATTTTAAAACATCACTTTTTCCTGCCTTCAATCTGACCTGTTGGGTCTTTACTCCCATAGCTTGAGCTGATATTATTTAACTTAACATCATGTAGACAAATTTGAACTTCAAATTGAAAGAAGGTGATCTTGCACGGGTTTATTTGCTTTCATTAATTTAGAAGGAAACTCTTTGTGACAGGAAAGTGTTTTTTAACCCCCTGCCAATTAAAACGCACCCGACGAAATTATCTCGCGTGTAATGGGACTGTAACGCTCAACAGCTGAAGCCTGCCATTTGGGGAACTTTGATGAGGCTGCGGAGAGGCGGGGCCGGCATCACCTTTCGACAGCAGTGGGAATGTTTTCAAGTTGGAAAGTATGTTCTAGATCAATTCTCAAATGAAAATGTGTCAACTTATTTTAGAGTATAAAGTCATTCGAGTTTACAGTCTCCTTGGGCTAATAATTGTAAATCGTGATGCCTCTGCCACTCATCTTTCCTGGCTGGCGTGATGAATTACTAGATAACACGGCTGGCCTAGAAATCTCAGCAATCCTGAAGCAGAGTAGATTTGGGTTTCTTACTAGACTGTGGGGTTCTGAGCAGCCTTTTCTCAGTCTTGCTGTGTCCTTCATGAAATGGAGATTTTGTAGTGGCTGTTTCTAAATCAGCTGAAGACTCACAATGCTAGTACAATTTTCGGCAGGGTTTCATTCATTATTTGCATGTACGAATGTCACTACAGGGACTTCAAAGAAATCTGAAAACTCCTCAGTAAGCTGTTTAAGACAAAAATCACTCCCACTCCAATCTATGTGTCCTTGGATGTCCATAATTTACTGAGGCACCAGATACTTAGCACTTAATGATTTGATGATGTATCAAAGAACAGTGGTTGATATAAATACTCCCAGCAGAAAGCAAGATCATTCATTAATCCATCCAACAAATAATTTCTGTGTAAAATGCTGGCAGAGTCCTGGAGATACATTAATGAGCACAACAGACAGGGCCCGTGCCTCATGGAGTTCTCAGGCAGAGAAAGCATACCTCCCGCATTATGGGGAGGTACTTTCCATTCAGCTGACTGCGGTGATTTTGAAAAGAAAATCTCCAGTTATGGCAGACTCTTTCAGCTGATTTCAAGTTGTATATTTTTTCTAAGTTGTATATTTTTGAAATGCTAAATACTGACTGATAATAGCTGCACATGGCTATTTTTTTTTCATTTACTTCAATTAAAAAAATAATGATTGTAGAATACTGTGAGTGTGATTCCTGGCACATCAGGTCTGGGAATAGTTCTCCTTGGCTGTAATCTTTTAAGACTAAGGGTGACTTGTTTAACAAGGTCAAAAACATGGATCTTGGTTCTCCTTTACACTCAGCAAGAAATAGTGAAAAATTCCTTCCTTCTTCCTCTGACTTCTCCCGTGGCATTTATTTGATTATATGAGCAATAGCGGGGACAATTCCTGTGTTCCAATCACTGTTGCTAGCTCCACAGTGACCAGTATGATCGGCACGCAGGCAAACACCCATAATAATAAGATTGTGTTTTGTATTTATGATAGGCCTTACATTGTACTAAGGGTTGTGTGTGTATAGTGACAATTAATGCTTAAGACAACTCCATGGGGTACATATTCTCACTCACACTGCACAGTTGAGACATGGAGCATGGAGAGGTGACCTGAGCAAGTTAATGGATCTAGAAAAAGGTGGAGAATGACTTCACTCCAGGAATGACACTCAGGATCCCTTGGGTTAAGTAAGAAAACTGTTTGCAGTAATTCTGGACCTCCTAGGATGTGGGGCCACAGATAGCACACCTAAGAAAAGAGGAAATGATGTCCCTTGTAAGCAGAGACGTCCTATATTTCTGTTTGGTAACAAAGATTCTTCTCTTGAAACAATTAGTTCCAGTCTTCTCTAAGAAGTCATTTACGATTTTTTTCTTTCTTCACTCTGTAGTGCCAGCAGATAAAACAAGGTTAAAGTCAATTTATTAAAATTTGAAATAAGAAAAATTTAAATACAGGGAATCACATGACAGCAATAATGGTGAAAGAAAAAAAATGATTAGTCTGGGAATATGGTTTGATGGTAGAATGATATCCCTAACATGCAAAAGGCCCAGGCTTGATCTCAACACTTAGAAATGATCGACATATAACCATAGGCATAATAACAAAATTGTGTTATTATAAGGCTAGTAGTCGTCTCAAATATTCAGTAGACAGTAGTAATAATAAAGAATCTTCTAACGTATTTTTTCTTTTAACTTCTTTGTCTCACTGCAAGATTTTAGCTGGCTCCTGACTTTTCCTTTGTGGGAATAGGTAGTGCTGTATACAAAGTGAACATGTGGGATAGCAGAGAAGAGTTAGCTCGGATTCTCTTTGTAAGAGCTTTACAGTTGGATGAGACTGTAATAACCCTTGAAAAGGAAGTCTCCTCTTCTCGATTTGAATAAGATGTATTTGGGGACACATAATGTCTTCATTTGCTAGAAAGATAATGCTCACATGTAATGGCGTAATGAGCTGTGAATTTGGATGAAGGTAGACGCGCCTGTTGTAGTAGGTGTCACACCCAGAGAATGTGGCTCTGCATCTATGACACACTGCTGGATGAAAGAGAATTAGTAGAAGAAGCTTGAACTGGGTACATGGGTTAATGGGCCAGTGGGTGTCTCCTCACAGGTATATATATGCTCATGCACATGTTCATGTATACATGCATATAATGAAAGTAGTTCATGTCTGGAACCCAGTTTGAGGTTTTAGGCATGGTACTGAGCAACTCTGTTGTTCCAGATAGGTTGCTTGGAAACAGAAGGAGGTGAGGCAGATGCTCGCCCGCTCTAAAGATGGGTGTGCCTTCAGGGAGAGGTCGCCTGTTGACTACCTCTGGGAATGTTAAAGGCAGTGTGTTTAAACAGCAGCTTGGCATGAGGGTTTAAGAAGTCCTGTGGCTAAAGATATTTGGATGCTGACCACTTTTGTGGGCCTCCTGATGTGGGTGCTGAGGAATGGACTTACGTCCTGACTAACAGTAGCAGGTGCTCTCGACTGCTGAGCGCAACCATTATCGCTACAGCCCCCAATACTGGTACTTCTAAAAACATCAGTTTATATTTCCTGACACAGAGGATAGAATTGTGATGAATTTGATAGCATCTTGGGATGGGTAAGAGGAGTCAGATTTTAGGAATCCTTTCCTGATAGACAACGAGGGAACTGAGATAAAACAATCATTAATATTTATGAAGACTCAGGGTGCCAGATAACTTCCGAACGAAGATCTCAGATGTCTTCTGTGGTCCCTCGCTGAAGCCCTGGGCTGGTGGTGCACCGACTTCCTTGCGGTGACCTTGAGCTTCGGTGTGTCAACAGCACCTTGTCATGCCGTAGATGGAGGCTGGGGACATATTAATATCAGAGACTGTTTAAACAAGGCAATAAAGTGACAACACTCAACTTGAACTAACCCAGCTTGCCAGCTAATCTTAAGGGGGTCCCATTGGAGGACGCTCGTACATTAATTAACTCTAATAGCAAGGAAGAGAGGGAGGAGAAAGAGGTTGAAAAGCATTGTTTTTTTTTTTTTTAAAAAAAAAGCCGAAGGACTCATGCTCGATTTCCTTCGGTCTTTTTTAAAGGTGTTTAACACTCCTCCAATTTGGTCAAATTATGGTCAGGACAGCAAGAGGAGCCAGTCAGCTTCAAAAGACAGAGTGTGTGAGACAGGACATGATTACTTTGCCGAATCCCCACTTTTTTTTTTCTTCCAAAAGAGACAAAGGGAAATATGCTTAAGAAGCAGTAGTGACAGCCACGGCAATCATGGAGTGGCGGGCTACCTTTGTCTCTGGGGGGCACGCAGTAATTTTTACATGTCTGCCACTGAGTGTCAAACCTTTTCTTTTCTTCTTCTTTCCATTCTGGATGGCCAAACTGATTATCTAAAATAGAAAATTAGCACACAATGGGTTTACTCTGCGATACCCCTTATACAACTAATGGCAAAGCTTGTTAATTGGTTGTAAATGCCAGCGGGTTGCCAGGATAATACTTCAGAAATAAGCGGGTATTCTGATAATTACAGCAATCTCCATCTATAAAAGCTTAAGTAGATGAAGTAGTGGCTGGCTTCAAACCAAGATTTATCCCGCTGCACTCACATTAAAAGAAAAAATAAGATGAAAACAATAATGTAACAAAACAATTATATAGCAGGAAGCTTTGTAGGTTTTCTAGATTGGGAAACCTCAGAAAGTAAAACAGTGTTGTAATAACCAGTTATGGAAAAATAGGCCATTTACATTTGTGTATAATTAAATAGTAGGCTATGCAATTTCACTTTTTAAAGTAAACTGCCTTTTCCTTTTTTTATAGGGCAACGTAGCCATAATTGCTGCATTAAAGCTTTAATGAAAGAAAAAAGCCGCAGATCAAGATGACACGCAACGTCTCCATTTGCACCGTGGCATTCTGCTTGTTTAGTAATGGGAAGCTACTGAGGAGATTAAAACTGCAGAATTCTTCATAGTTTGTTCTGAAATTGCTATAGGAAGATCATTCGGGGTCTAAAATACACACAATTTATTTTTCCACCTTCAATTTGCAAGAATTTAATGGCTTTCCTAACTAGTAGGTGGTTGGAGATATGCTTTATATTGAAGAGAAAAACTACTTCGGATCATAAAAATGATCAGAAGTGAGCGGATCAGAATTTAAATCTCCAACGATTTCCTTAGCGCACTAGAAGATTGCCCCAAATAGTGTGCTATAGTTTGTGTTGACTTGGTGAGCTATAAGAAGATATCCTTTTCAAAATATCAACAGGTTGGCTTGTGATATTGTGTGTCTGCATTCTGCGGTTCCCTCCTCACTCCAACGATATCAGGAACTGGTGCAAAGGACAGCCAGTCGTGTGGGGAGGTAAGGCCCTGGCAAGCTGCTAGCTGGCTTGTGGGAGAATTTAGTTGTTTTTTTTTTTTTTTTTAAATGGCTTCCTGTGAACTTCTTTCTCCTAAGTTTGAAATTTTCTTCCAATGTCAACTCCACATAGGTTGGCGATGTTTTCTGTAAACCATCCCTGGCACATCATGTCAGCAGAGACTGGAGACCTTCATTACGTGTCACAGCACTAAACAGAGGGAGTGGGAATTTGCTGAGAACACACCAGCAAGGAAGTAGCAAGGTCCTCAGTGCCAATGGCTAAGGGGGAAGTAGCCATATATTTACATGCATGGTATTGGTGTGAACTTTTCTTCCTTTTGCAAAAAGAACAATGCAAAAGCAACTTCTCTTACGAGAGGAAACGTGAGGGAGGGCTCCTGTGACGGCCTGGGTTCTTGGCTTTCTGAGTTCTCACTTTAGGAAAGTGATTCACTTGCTCCATGGTTTTGTTTTGGTGTTTGTTTCTCACGGGCTTGATAAAATGCATCTTTCTCTATGTGCAGTTCTCTTGGAATGAAAAACTTCAAGTACATAGCCTTCTGGCATGGCTGGCTTCCTCACAGAAGTAAGAATGTGCTGTTGGCATGGGGGCTGGAACCGCGGGTAAGCACAGCCCCGCAGGAATCGGCACAAGTGCCGGGCAGAAGCAGCCTGGCCGCTCACAGAGCATCACAGCTACTTCTGCGAGAGTGTTACTGAGGAGGGAGGCAGGAGGGGGAAAGCATGGGCTGCGGAAGACACACAGAAGCAAGAAGTATGATCTTCCAACTCCAAGATTTCACGGAACAGAAGCAGATGTTACAGGTGCCCACCCACGCTGCTCCCCTGTCAAACAGGAAAGACACCGGAGGACTGACCCCACACTCTCCAGCCTGCCTCTCCTGTGTCTGCGAGGCTGGCAGCTGATGCAGGACCGAAGAGGGGGCCCCCAGGGTACTGTGTTCTAACAGCGAGACTGTTTTAAGGTGTCTTCTTTAAGCTACATCTTTGTACGCGGCGGCAATGAACAGAGAAAATGGTAGAGGGAAGCAGCCTTTCCGGCAAGCTTGGCCGCCGTTCGCTGGAGAGCTTGGTGTGTGGTTGAGCAGAAGACGAACTTTTAGGGAAAGTCACCTGAAGCTGAACAGCAGACGAGTCAGAGGAAAAAAAAAAGAGCAACAGGGGAGGAGTAGACCCGGAGGAGCAGCACCCAGGGTGTGTTCACACTACCAGACTCCCCACAGTTTCCCTCCTCATGTGCCAAGCGGTGAGAGGCACGGACACGTGGCCCGTGCTGTCTCCACACAGGGGACACTCACGGAGAAGATCTACATCTGTAAAAAGCAAGGCCGGGAAACAACTCACCAAACGCGAGAACGTGTGGAAGTTATTTCCTAATAGAGTTTCTACTTAGAGGGAAAAAAAAAAAAAGGCCAACAAGTTTCTTGCGCCCTCACTTCAAATGTTCACTTTTAACCATAGGAGGTGGCTTTCCACATAGCTGAGACATACCTAGTTGAGTTCCCGAAGAAGAGAGAAAAAGGGTTTAAGTGGAGAGAGCCTCCTGTGTGTAGCATTGTTTCCCACATACTCAAGGGCTGTTATGATATTTGTTCTCTGGGTTTCCATCTGGCTTGGGCTTTTGAGGTCTGACACCTTTGACGTCTCTGAAAATTTATCAGTGTAGGGCATAATTTTATCAAAACATGTTTTAGCTTCTTTATGGCCTAGTAACCACTTTCCTTCTCACTTGATGACGTGAACACTGCGCAGGGCGGGCATTTGAAGAATGCCGGAGGAAGAGTTATTTTTAATTAAAGAATGAATTTTTCTCTCTGTGCTTTCACAGATCCTAATAGTGAGCCTATTAAACTGATTCTTGGAGAATCATTCTGGGGTCCACCCACTTCGGGATGAGATTATTTAAAGGGCAAAGTTCTCTGACTAGAGTTTTCTCCTAGGTAAGGAACACACTTCTCATCCACGGGAAAAGCATGGCCTGCCACGGGATTGCATTCTTGTGTGGATCCCGTGTCCGCCCCAACAGTGAGCATGTTCTCTGTTTCGATGTCAGCTGCTAACCAGTTACAAATCTGACATGTGGCTCCATCCGGGAGGAGAACTGAAGTCCCTTTGGCTTTAGCACGAGTGATAGACTAGCACAGAGTTTACCGAAGCCACTTTCGACGACTCTTCTGCAGCGCACGTGCATAAGTTAGAGTACCTCTGCAGCATCCGTGACTGAGCTCGCTGACAAGTGACAGGAGGTCCCCCCTCCCTCGTATTTCATGAAGGGGTACACAAATCATAACAAGTTGCCTCCCGTTCATGAGACAGGGAACGTTTCCCTTAAAGCCCACATGGCTATATGGTGTGTTTGTGTCCATGAAAATTCATGCTGCTATCAATTCTGATTTTGCCATTTTTTTTTTGTTTTTAAGTCTCAGGTTTGAAGTTTTTGAAGATGCTCAAATGATTTTTACTTTCAATTTCCTTTGAGGTGATATTTAAAGAGTCTATTGAAGTCTTAATCAGAGAGCAAAGTTTATTACCATGGAGAGAAACTGTAATATATAGGGACCCCTGTTCCTTAGACAGTAACTTTCTTTATTTACTCAATAAATAAATACCTACCTTGTGCCAGGAAGTCCTATGTTGGTGATAAGTAGCGGGTAATGAGTCACATAGTCTATTTGGGTCTCCCTGCTCTTGTAGAGTCCCCAAAACAGCAATGATCCGCGGTAAGAGTACTTGCTTCCCAGGGTACTGAATTCTACAGGACACAGACTCCAGTGAGGACAATGATAGGCACCACCACAGGCAAATGAGATGAAAGCAGACGAGAGGCATGAAGAGGAGAGAAGTTTTAGAGCCGGGAAGATCTGGATTTGAATCTAGCTATTTTCTCTCTTGGCTCCAGCATCCTTCTCTGCAAACTAAAAAAAGTAAGAGATCAGTATTCAAGTCACATAAAGTATTATTTGCACATCACACATGATCAAAACTTTGAGCTCCCTGTTCTCTGTGGTCTCAGAATAAGAGAAAGCATGCAATTCTTTAAACATCAATCTTACCATATATAGATATATGTACATATAAAACAAGGTCTTCATTAGATAGGTTCCTAGGTCCACAGAAGTTAACCATCTGGCTGTGACATCCAAGATAAGTGCCAGGAAAATGATGTACTCCAAAAGCTAGTTTGCTAGTTAGTATATATGTTAGATAGATAGATAGATAGATAGATAGATAGATAGATAGATAGATACATACATACATACATACATACATACATACATACACACTCTCCTTTTTTCCCACTCCGGCCAGTGCATTTATTTTTGCTTTTTGGTTTTTGAGGCAAGGCCTCAGTGTGTAGCCCAGACTTGCCCCTAACTCACTATGTAGTTCAAAACTGGCTTTCAACTCAAGACTTTGTCCTCAGCTTCCCAAGTGCTGGGATTACCGGCATGAGCCTCCACACCCAAATAACATGTGTTGTTCTAAAATTTAATCTGTTTATAATTATAGAGGCAGTGAGATGTACCCAAAGGACTGAATGGATGTTTTTAACTACCCATGGCGTTCCTACTGAGTGAAGGTGCAATCATTGGGGACCGTGGAATTTCAGCAACAGAAGCAAAGTAAACCAAGGGTTTCAAGACTGAGTTCATTTGGAGGCTGTACACTCTTGTGACTCTAACTTCAGGTCTCAGTGCAGGAGGCCTCCTGCATCCATGTCCTTGCAAAAGGAAACACAAGAGGTTGAGCTGTAGTCTCAAGGAAGATCCTGCTTGTCCCTGCGCCAGGTCTCCAGAGCAGGCTAACGTTTCCTGTCTGGGATGGAGTGAGAGCAGCTTCCCTGGAGGCTGGTAGCCTCACCTTAGCAGGAGACCTTTTGTAGTCTGACTTCTTTGTGTGTCCTGTCCTTTCTCTTTCTGTTCATAGCTTCTCTGTCACTGGCCTCACTCTTGCCTCTGAGGACCAGGAGTGTGAATCCGAGCTTTGGAGAGCTGGGTGAGGAAGAGTAGCTTTCTCCTGTCTCTTACATAGGAGGTGGCTTCTCTTTCTGTTTATATCCTCATGTGAACATTCTGGAGGGTAAGAATGACAGATTATTGGCTCAGTCACAATTTGCCTTACACATAACCTCCCTGCCAATTTCATTTAAAAAAAAAAGATGTCTTCTCTCATAGAGGAAATAAGCATATCTTTGTTGTAGTAAAAAAAAAATAGTGTGCAAGATTCACACAAAAATCTGTTCTGTGAACAGAAGTTTTTTATTAGTTGAGATACACCTGAGCCTGCTGTGAGTGGCCCTAGGCCCAGGGACTTTGGGTCACCTGCTTTTTGCCCTTTCAACTTTTGCACTGTCCTTGAGTGTTCCTGGTCGTTTCCTAATTTATGCCAAAAGCAGTTTTTTGAGGCCAAATGATGATGATGATGATGTTGATGATGATCCTATCATCTTGCACAGTACTCCATTTCATATTCCAGGCAGAGTGGCATTAGGAGATGCTGAAGGCAGAGATAATACTGCATGATTAGTGCATTCATACATTGTCTCCATCTCAACAGGCTTCATTAACCTAGACCTGTCTACATATTTCTTGTAGTGACTCTGCATATGGATAATTAATAATTTTCTAAGTCCCTAAGGTGGAAAAATGAAAAATTTTAATTTAGGTGGTTTGATCTCATTTTTTTTGTATTTAACAAAAGTCTGTTAAAATTTTCTAAAATAAAAACTACAATTGCATAAAAAGAAATATTAATTAAAATTGTGTATTACTTGAGCAGTTTCAAGGAGAATATGAAATAACCAGCTTAGTCATGATTAATGGAAGACAGGGTGAATAACCATTATTTTTTGATATGTTTATTTTCTTCAGAGGTTAATTTGACAGAAAGAGGATGTTGACATTCTTTAATAGATTTTGGATCCTCCTAGGGTAATTTTTATTTGAGAACCATTGTACATTTAGTATGACTTTTATCAATGTGATAGAGCTATCCCTTAACAGACTGCAGTATTCAAGTATAGCTGACCAAGATTTAGGCTCATATTCCAGTTCCTTAATATCTATAGAGAGATTTATGCTAAAATTTGTTCTTAAAGTTTTAGAGACAGTATTTGCTCCTATATAAATTAACATCTGGAGAATGGCAATAAAAGGAAAATATATTTTAAGTTGATGATTCCAATTTCTTTGCATTAAAGGAAGCACTTTGATTTATTGTAGATTATTTTCAGACAATTTTGGGCCTGGGTGTGCTAGGCCCGCTGTAGGACTAAAGTGGAAGAGAATTTAGGGAGAAAAACGACATTGGCTTTAAATATATTTATTGTTATATACCTTGTGAATTTCCACATGTTTCATCTTGCTCATGCATTGAGAAGTCAATGTACTACCTATCCTCACTTGTACAGACAATGTCAAGACTGCTGTGTCGCTGGAGTGGAGTGGCCTCCCTATGAAAGGTGACGGCTTGTTTTAGAGGCACAGTACGCACTATAGGCAGATTGATGGAGTAGGGCGAAGCAGAGACTCTGTGAACACAATGTCTCATTCAGGGCTATGAAGACTGTGAGGCACACAGTGCCTGGCCCCGACGGGTGTGGTGCATCTTTGAGGCACTAAAGCCTCCAAGAGGTTTGAGAGTGATGATGTCATTAATTAATAACTGACTGTGTGCTAATCAATACGTTGGCTATATTCTATAATGGCTTATAAATATGATGGCTTTGGAACGGCTCATGTATAAATGCTAATTGATTTAAAGTAAAGGGAAATTTCTGTCCATTGGGTCAATAGTTTATGGATTATGATGACCTTTTAGTATGAGATTGCTAATGAATGCTCCTCCATCTTTCTTAGCCCCCGGCCTGTTCTGTGTTCTATCATCAGAAATGCCTGTAAACAAGATACATTAGGGCAATTATTGGTACTGGAATCCAATAACACTTGTAAAGCCTTCTATAAGACACCACACTGGGACTTCAAATTACAAATCCTACAATGTGGAAATACATATTTCATGCAAAAGTGTGTGTATCATATAAGCGTGCTATCCTTGATTTATCTTCAGGAATTTCAGGTTTGTATTTCTTTCTGTATTTTTGTGTGCAGAGCTGAGAGATAGTGGATATGGGATCTGGCAGAAGACGTGACCTCTAAGACACAACTACCTTCTTTATTCCAACACCTAAATTATGAATCAAGTACATTTAAAGCACACTTAACATCAGAAACCAGAATTGACAGGTGGGATTTTGCCTTAGGAGACGCCTCTTGGCCAGCACAGGAGATGTTTTTAATGGAACTTGGTTGTAATAATAGACTTCGGTGCTTAATGGAGAAGGGGGACAGGGGGACGTAGTTTTGTATGACTGTCACTAGAAACACCATTATCTTAAACAGAAGATAATTGGAAAGAATGGTCAAAGATGTGGGAAGGCAAA